ACTCCATATATGCATGCATGCATGGTGTCATCTACCACTTCGGTCTCTTGCAGATGCTAAGTACGTCGGTCACGTACATACGCCACAAAAAAGTACGTGTGTCTCTGTGGTCGATCGCTGCGTGCACACTGTGCCTCGACGCCTACCTGCGGCAAAAACACCCTCGCATCGTCATATATCCTTTTTCCGGTCTCCGGCCGCCCTTTTCTACTGATCTCAGCCAAAAGATAAGATCGGGCGACGACGCAGCACTGCTGCGTATATTCCCCGTCCACTCTGCTGCTAAAGGCTAAAGCGCGATTTTTCTTCCCAGACATTTTTCTGGGATGGGCTTAATTATATAAGTCAATTTTTGACAGATACAACGGGAAAATGAGTTTAGAATATCTAAGACTTTTACGATTCTATCTTCAGCAGTTTAAAACTTAAGTCCGAGTGTGATGACGACAAAAATAACAAGGAAAGACCATAAATTAATTCCAAAACTTATAATCCGTAGTTCAAAATTGGAACTGGTCTATAAGACGTAGCTCAAACAAATAAGGCTTTAATCGGCACTCACCGTGAAATGTACAAAACTAAATTAAATGTGCCCGTAGATGTAGCGGTCACTAATATCTGTACCTAGAGATGGTTTTCTAATGGATAGGGTGCTCGATTATTATGTGCTACCTTTAAAAAGACGGTGTTTGTACAACGTGGTGTATCCATCAGGCGGTAAAGGAACCTTCTTGTGCTTTTTCTCATTCTTCCAGCTCAGCTAGTGAGCAGCTTTTTATCCAGTCTCTCCTAAAGTAGTGGAATACGAACCCGGCCACGGAATGAACGTTTGCCCTGAGATCTTCTTCGATATTTTATTCATCCTTTTCCTTTTCGGAAAATTTGTATATTAATTCTTCACGACCTTTTGATGAAAGGGCTAGCTATAATAGTTCTGCTAATTAATCTACTGATCATATATATAAAGATTACTATTCTGTATTTATGCTATGCTGGCATCAATAATAAAGATTACTACACTCATATAAACTGAAGGACAGCGATCTCTACGCAAAGAAGAGAATAAACCGCCCATGTTCATACGCACTTCTGGATGGATAAGAGGATAAAAAGCTACTTGTGCCCAGAAAGTATAAAGGATAGGTATCTTTATCGGAGCCTAATTCAAATTCTCAAATATACCTGTGGCTTAATTTATTTGGATGTGACACAGTATACTGTCTCCAGCTGCTATAGTTGGCTTTGGTTTCTTTACGAATGAGGAGTCAATGAGATCACCTGGCGAAAATACTCGGTAGATACTGGATATATGATATGTCTTAGTTTAAGACTACATCATGTCGGCATGAAACCAGAGCTGAATACATGAACAATATTGTATTTTAATTGGTATAGAGTTTCATTGGTTGTACTATTAATTAGTTGGCAGTTATCAGTTAATTTCTTTCAAGATATTTTACAAAAATATTTACTCGTGAAGGAATATCAATTCTCAAAGGTTTTGCTAGCTCACAATTGCATGAAACCTAGCTAAATACTCCCTCCGTCCCATAATATAAGAAATTTTGAGTTTTTACTTGCACTGTTTGACCACTCATCTTATTTAAAAAAATTGTGTAAATATAAAAAAAATGAAAAGTTGTGCTTAAAGTACTTTGTATAATAAAGTAAGTTACAAAAAATAAATAATAATTCTAATTTTTTTTAATAAGACGAGTGGTCAAAACAGTGCAAGCAAAAACTCAAAATCCCTTATATTATGGGACGAAGGAAGTATTATGGATAAGCTAGCTAGGCACCCCTCATAGTTAATTGGTTAATGATGACTAGGCACATCTGTGAGGTGATCACCCATATTTACATATAATAGAATGCAGCTTCCCTGTTCCGATCCGTGTCCCATAAGTGATCACCGGTGGATGTCATCAGTGGTGGGCCCACACGTCACATTCGTCTTCTCGATTGGTTTCCTCGTCCTTCTCTTATTGCCTCCTCTCTCTCATGGTGTTAAACACGGGATCAATTAAATCAAAATAGAATAACTATGTAAAAACCAGTTCAATCATTGTTTTATGTGATTTCACAACCAAACCATGTTGTTTAAAGCGAAGTTGAAAACTAGAGATTACTGAATGAAACCAATCTGGAATTATTTTTCTCCCTGAAGTTGCTTTGCCTGGTGTACTTTCAGCGGCTGTGGCTCGTGTTCCTCACTAAAATCGCTAAAGCGGCTGTGGCTCGTGTTACTCACGAAGTGAAGCACCCAATAGAAATCACTCGTAGGATTGCAAGAGATTGGAACAAGGAAGAATGAAATCTCTGTGGTTCCTTCATTGTTTGTTCTCCAATATGTACCAATCAAATATCATGGCCTGTCAATGGAGCCATAAAGCGGAGAAGGGAGAAGACAAAAGGAAAAGGATGGGTGATTAGGACTTAATTTGGGATGGGGGTTGGGGGGGGGGGGGAAGAGGGAGGAGGGGTAAATAATATCAGCCGTAGATGAGTAGGGAAACATGGATCGGAACAACAACAAGGGAATATCCATACCTATGACAGTTCATCCTCTATCGAACCTACTGAACCATAGGTGATTTTTCTAAAAAATAGTAAATAAATAAATTCCCATTAACCCCCCCCCCCCTCCACCCCACAAAAAAAGAGCACCGTGGCCGGCCACCTCCGCCCTCTGCATGCATCCCAAGCACCACTGCCAGCCCCCTCCAAATCCTCCCCCCATGAGGTTAGGGCAGTTAGATCCAATGAACTGGTTCCGTTCTTTTCTCCAGCAAGAGTTAGATGAAAATTAAGATTTTCGTGGCACGCTTTTCAAACTGCTAGATGGTGTGTTTCGTGCGAAAACTTTGTATATAAAAGTTGCTCTAAAAATATCATATTAATCTATTTTTTAAGTTTGTAATAATTAAAACTCAATCAATCATACGTTAATATTATCTCGTTTTGTGTAAAAAACTTAATCTTCATCTTCATCTTCATCTTCAGGAGAAAAGAACACCACAACCTCAGGGATGCTGAATCTAGAGGGTATACAGTGGTAACTTGGGAGACAACGCATGGTTGGAGTTTAAAGGGAAGGCGATGGATCCACCGCCAGACCACCATCCCCTCGCCAGTGCCTTTGTCATTAGTTCGTAGGATGGTAGAATTGGTGAGGCATGAATAGAAATGCAGATATTAGGCCCTGTTTCTTTCAGCTTGGGATTATTATAATCCAGATTATTAGGAGTAAGCTGAAAGAAACAGACAACTTATTGAAGTAGCTTATTATAATCTGGAGCCCAGCTTATTATAATCTGAAGCCCAGCTTATTATAATCTGATAAGCTCATTTAGGTGAGCTTTTTCCAGATTATTGGGTGAAAATTTACCCACCATGCCACCACTCCCTCTTTAGACTTGCAAACCCAATAATTTAGGCTCTAATAATCTAGGAAAGAAACAACTAATCACTTATTCTACTACAGATTATAACAATCTAACTTATAGTAATCTGACTCAATAATCTAGATTATAATAATTTCAAACTGAAAGAAACAGGGCCTTAATTGCATCACTCTAGCGGAACCATGAAGCAAAGGGCAAAGAAGATTGCAGGACCCTCTTCCTAGAACTGCAAAGGGCAAAGAAGATTGCAACACCCTCTTCCTGTAACTCAAGAAGAACCACCATCATTTCTGATAGTTTTGATGAAGCTCAAACTCAAGAACAAGAGGCACCTCTTGCTCCTATCAATCTAAATTATCTTTGTAAATTTTGACCTTGCTAGTTGAATTAGTCGATTAGTGATGGTATAAGATATAATTCTATCGCTTTTAAACTAATTAAATTTCTATTTGTTTATGGGATTTGCAATGTTAGAAAATTTTGGTACGTTGATGTGAATGAAATTTCTACTTCTTCACCGGTACTTGTGAAATAGAACTACCCAACCAAAAATTCTTGGCCACTATATATCATGATGGTATTTCTTAAATAGTACTATTAGTTGTTTGAACTATCGTAATACAAAATGTTCATGGGAGTTTCTCTTCTACTTCCTCCGTTTCAGATTATAAAACTCTTTAGCATTGCCCATATTTATATATATGTTAATGAATCTTGACACATATATAATAAACCGTGAAAGTCTTATAACCTAAAACGGAGGTGGTATATAATAAGCCGTGAGTGCTGCCCACTTATTTTTCCTTTACGCAACAACAGAGGAGCCAAGATGCAATCGACAAAAAACACACCGAGTTAGCCAATTAGGCACCAGGGGTTGCGTGTCTATTATACTACGTCATAGCGACCGCCAAAATATCGAATGCGGGTGGAAAATAAATTTTTCACGCAACTGATGACTAGATGGAGAACCTCTTTTTTTTTAAAAAAAAAGTTACAGTTTTTGACAAAATGCTTCAGTTATTCGTCCCTGACAACCATATTCCAGACTTCCAGTCATGTGTCCAGTCCAATTGACCAATTGTCCATGCACCTCCAGGCAGCATATCCAGAGATATCCCTCCGCAACAGCAAGTGGGAGCCGCGCGCGAGCCGTCGGCCCGCCGCCGGTCACGCGCAAGCGCATATGCATGCATGGCAGGGAATAAAATTAAGCAGAAGGGGGATGGACGATCCCACCGGGAGATCTCCCACATGGCCACCACCCTCCCCCTCACCGAACCACGGCGAGAAACGCCTGCCCCTGCTCATGAAAACGACCGGAATATTCTCACCGACCTTGCCCCACAACTCCACACACACACACAAGATTAGATACTTTCTCAAACAAATTCCTCTTCTTTCTTTCTTTCTTTCTTGTGCGTCATCTCTATCACCGATCTCTATCCCCCTCCTACCACCTACGCTACGCAAGCTTATCTATTTGCCGCCTTTTTCAATTAATTCCAAAAGGAAAATAGTATATTAAAAGCTTGTGTCCTGCACAGTAGAGCACACGGGGCACAGTAGACACTACTGCACGTGTATATATAGGTGACCAAGCTACACCCTGATCGATCCCCTCCTACTCTCTCTCTGATCTCTCCTAGACTCTAGTAGCCTTAGCTAGCTACAAATGGTGATGGCCATGGAGAAGAAGAGGTTTCCAACGCTGGCCCAGGTGGCCAAGATGGCGTCCCTCCTCCTCCTCTTCCTCCTCCTCCCCTTGGTGCCTTCCTCCCTCAGGCAGCCCTACCTCTACCTCCTCTTCAACGCCCTCGTCGTCGCCCTCGGCGTCGAGGCCGGCTTCCTCGCCGCCATCTCCAGCGGCCCGCGCGACGACAAGCTGCTGCCCAAGCCGGCCGCCGCCGCCGCAGCTCTGAGGCTGAGCCACAGCAATAGACCAGGTGAAGTCGACGTCGCTGCGGCGGCGACCAACGGTCGTCATCACCATGTCAACGGTAGTAGCAGTAGCAGCGCTGTAATTGTGGCCGCTTCACCATCCTTGACACCGAAGGCGGCGGCGTTAGAGGCTGCAGCCGGCAGCAGGGACGTCGTCGTCATCGCCGGCGGTGCCATGCCGGCGGCAGCGGCGGCCAAGAAGTCCAAGAAGATGAGGAGGTGCCCGTCGAGGGCGAGCCTCTTCTTCATCGGGGGCGGGGACGGCGAGGACGTCGTCGTCCACGAGGAGGAGGAAGGGTGCTGGACGAAGGGCGGCGGCGGGGGCGGCGGCGAGCAGATGATGAGCAAGCAAGAGCTGTTCACCAAGGCGGAGGCGTTCATCGGCAACTTCTACAAGCAGCTCAAGATGCAGAGGGAGGAGTCGTGGAAGAAGTTGCAGGATCTGTACCACCACCACCACCACCACTACAAGACCACGGCCTTGTAGCTTTGCTAGGGCTCTCATCAGTTGGTCACAACTCCAAGTCTGATCATACTCCAAGTATATAGTACACAACTGATCAAAAGGCATGCATGCATGATGCATGTGCCTTACCGATCATAACTTAATTAATTCTACATCTAGTATATATATAGGGAGAACATATATGTCATGCAGATGTTTGCATTTGTTGGTAGGGGGGATATGATATGTGTCTACAGGTGCAGGATTGGAGCAGGGGAGGAAGCAACAGATATTATGTTGTTGTGTTTCTCATTCTTTCCTTCATCCATAGATTAACTACTTTGATTTGGATGGCCAGTTGGCTAGTCTTGGGGTTAAATATTTCAAGGTTATAGGAGAGGTTGATTTCTCCTAAAGTAAGAAATGTTATGGAAAGGAGTTGTTCTGGTCTTCCATCTTGATGACATATATATGCATGCATAATGGTTTTCTACGCGCAATATATATGCATGAGCATCGATCGCCAATAAAATTGCATATCGTTATTCATCTGATCAAGTGTTACTTCCTCTGACTCGAGCAAATCTGAGTTAAATGCATGCAAAAACAAATATACATGTATAGGAGAGGGAAGGTTCCTACTCTATATTTGACCATGACCATGAGGTGTTGCTACCAAGTTTCAAATCAGTCATCAGAAAGGATCGGAGTGCTAGCCAATCTTTGAGCACAATAATCCCCACATATCCGCTTCTCTCTATGTTGTACTCTTTCCACCAAACTCACCTAGCAAGTAATGCCACCTCTATTACTGCCCTAGGCAAATAACTTCAAGCATTTACTAGTAACATGCTCATATAATTGGGTTGCACTGACCCATATAATTGGGAATGGGTTGGGAGTATAGATCGAGCTTAAAGCACCGAATTCAAGCGTTTCTTTTCTTTTTTTTCTCTCATCTTGCGCATGTGCAGTACGGTCAGAGGGAATGGAAGGAGAACGGCTCCACTATTATAGTAGTAGAGAAAATACAAAGTGGCCGGTCTTGTGGAATGGCATCGGGTGAGTGTACTCTTTGAGATCCTACTTCACAATGCGCAGTGGTTTTGATTAGGCGTAAATAATTTAGCATTTCAGCTCACAAAATTTGGTAAAATGTGATTTTACAGAAATACATGTGCAAAATAGCCCCTAGAACCATAAAAAAATCATCAAGATCCTTTGCCCATTTGCCAAACATGTACTTACATTTATATCTCCCTACCTACCTTTTATTCCACATTTGTTGCCAACCACCATCACAAAGAAATTGACTAACACCTACACCCATGGGGACGACAACCACTACTCTTCCCTCTACTAGATCCAACCACCGCCACTTCTTCCCCTCTATATCTAATATCTTCTTATTTTGCCATATCTGCTTTTCCAATCATTGGTGCCATTGCTTCCCCCTATATTTTCAAATTCCAGCAAACTAGGCCATCGATCTTCTTAGGTCGTGGCCTAGGCAGTGGATCTAACAAGGGCGATGACGGAGGGTGGGGGGAGGGGGAGGGGTTGTGTGGTCTAGGATGATGAAGCGGCCTAGTCGATGGTGCTTGTAGTGGAGGCAGTGTGGCGGACAAGCCAAAACAAAAACCTCAAGCACAAAAGTACAATTACATCTTAAATTATCCGAATGTAGTACAATTAGTTCAAATTAAATTAAGTCTTAAATTATTAAAACACAATGCAAATAGTCCAAAATAAGTCTTACATAGCAGAAACAATGCAATCTAATGCCGTTTATCACTACGACGCTTTTTCATAGCATAGAAGCGCTCCATTACAGCATCATTACTAATATTCAAGAAAATATCTCTCTCAATAAATGTGACCAAACAATCATTCAAGACTTGATTGCCCATACTATTTTTCAACTTGGTCTTCACAAGATTCATGGTAGAGAACACCCTTTCAACACTTGCTGTAGCCACCTGTAGTTGGTAATACCAGTTTGAGCAAGTATACCAATTTATAGAGTTCATGTTTTTTAGTTTCAACAAGCTTCATAGAAGAAAGGGTGACGCAACTGTCATCCCACACCGGAAATCCTCTCTTCCAGCGCATAGCCCCTGTCCATCTCTCCCTCCTCCGAGTCTTCTCTCCTCTTAACAAATCCCTCTTCCTCCGCTTCCTCCTCTACCTTCCCAAGCCTGAGAAGGTGGGAGAGGTTATGGAAGAAGAGTTAGAGTACTACTACTTGGAAAGCAAGGAGTTGGGAGCAAACACGATAGAGGCTGATCCCTATACGAGAAGGCGAAATCGACCCAACCACTGATTAATCGAGTTTAATTGCCATATATAGGAGCTGACTGAAGAAGACATTATTCAAGGATGGAGAGCCCTAGCCCTGACACCCACCACCGGCGACTGCGACCCCCTCCATATACTCTGGTACCAACAATCTCCATACCATGCAAATTCCGTAGTCGTGATCTAAAACATCGACAATATTATTATAGTTTATCTATGTGTGATTAGGTTTGTATATTATTAATAATCATATGGATGCGTAAAATAAGATGTTAGTGATAATTGTTGTTTGCAACACGAAACACTTTCTTTAAGGGATTAAAACAATAAATGATAATAGGAGATGACCATCACAAGCAAAAAAAAGGTTATTTTCCATCATGTATTAAGTTCTTAATCAACATCTCACATAATGAACTCTAGCAGCTACACGATACACAGAATTCCCCTTCATTGTCCTTTTCCATCAACCATATAAAAAAATTACTTGGAAACTAGAAAGACAAAAGAATATAAAATAGAAGAGCAAATTTATTCATATTTGAAGTTATTTACGTATAGCATAGCATATGGCTGTTCATAATTGAATGAAATAAGTAGCTAGCCTAAAATGAAGAACATATGCTATGTTGCTGTCGTGCTTGATGCCTCCTCATCTAAATCGAACTAGTCTTTGGCCTTCTTTCTTATTTGCGCATCCATGCGGTTATGTGTCAAAATCTTGTTAAACTTTTATTTTCTTGTTACACATGACCCTAGACTTGGCCTTTTATGAAATATGTTTTTTAATCAAAATATGTTTGTCCTCAAAATTGTGATAAGCTTCGAGGACATGTGTACTTGATAAGTATATGTTGACTGTGTCTAAATTGATCAAGTGCCATACCAAGACATGAATAAATGGATGTTGCTCAAATGTACATGTGAGTCATGCATGGGGTTAATTAATACATGGACACACAAGGAATGGTGAGGAATCCTTGGTGTTTGCGATGGGTATACTTGCAAGCATAGGAAGACATGTATTTAGTGGTCTTGTTACGTGAAATATTAGACAATGTTGTAGGATGATGTGGAGCTGATAATGGTGAATAGTGTCGAAGGGCACACAAACAACTATAGCAAAGTGAAGAACAATGGCTAGGATGTTAACTATATATGTAGTATGTCTAAAAGTGCTATACTATCACGAGCCTACCGCCATATCCTCATGTGATGCTCCAACAAAGTAGATTGGTAGATAATGATTTGTTAGCTTCTTTCATGAATTTCCACAATATGTTTATGGCAATGGCAACCGACTAACACCCCTAAGCAACATCACGCAAGGAAGATTTTGTGAAGAAATAACTATTGTTCCACATGAGAGAGAGATAGATAGAGAGAGAGAGAGCTACCTTTAATGGGTGTGCTTATTGTTTTGATATGCTTTATTAGGGTATTTAAGGTGTATTTGATACTATATTTAAGTTATTGACCGAGAAACCACCAGACTCTAACTTGACCCTTTATTTGCTATGTTTAGCATAACTCCTATCTTGAAAATAATATAATAAGGAAATTTCCGGTAAGCTCAATCAATTCTCATCTTATAAGCTCTTACATTCCTATTCTTGTATTCTTTTTTCTCCTCGAACCAAACTTCTATACGTTGTACTAGTTATTTCATGATATTTGTCATCACCACAAAGTCTATATATTTATGCCTCTTCCTCTTATTTCCCTCCAACTAACCTTGTTGCAGTTAGTGGTGGTTGGCCTTCATTCATGATATGCAATAGGTAGTGGTAGGAGAATGATTATGAACCAACAACTACAATGATCATAAATTTGATATCCTCCAACCACAATATTAACTATTTAAACATCTGATATGATTATTGACTTTAGCATATAATGCGACTATTGGCAAAGGGTGACAACGTGTTAATATATCATTTGATCTAGCTAGGTTTGCATCAACCTAGCTCATTTGTTAGAAGGGAGCACTGAAGTGACATGATGGCTAGACGAACATGTTCCAAATGGGATGTATTTAACACACTACTGCAAAAGACAAAAAGTCAAATGCCATAGGAGGAGCTCCTCCTACCCATTTGATGTTCATATTATTCGCTACGGTGCAAAAGCTACTCCATTATAAATCAACTAGCCTTGCTAAAAAAAATTCTACAACATTATGCGTCAGTTACCATAGCAGACTCACAATATTGTAAGCTTGTTGCTACATGGCTCTATGTGGTACTGCTGATCTGCATTCAACATCTTGCACTTGCACTTACTTCACATGTTTTGCATCACTTACAACCATAGCAGCTCCAACAAGTATTTTTCCATGGATGCCTAGTGAACTCACAAAGGCTTACGGGCTACGAGGTTAGCGATGACAATGCCCCCCTCCCCCCGAGTCTAGTAGGGCTAGAACCTGACGAGTTATTTTTCACCCTGGGAATGCTTAGCATGCTAAGATCATCCTCAGTTGAGCCCAGTGGAGTGCGCTCCATTCCCATTCACCACCAGATAGCCCGTTACAATATGGCAAGTGTGCTAAAGGACATAGCACATATACTAAACCCATTTAACCATCCTGTTCACCATTAGATGGCCCATTAGTAAGATAAAATTTATATATACTAAGCCCATTTAATCATCTAAATTCATCCTAGATGGCCTGTTAAGATTTGGCAAGTTGGCACCAGCACATGCACTAAGGCCTTCTTTGTTTAGGTTTAGGTTTATTGGCTTAGACTTTTAAGTTAGCTTATTGGCTTATATGATTTATAAGCCGATGGATTTAATGTCCCAAGTTTAGTAGTGGAGTAATACATCTACCTCACATAAGTCAAAAAAGCTTCTCCAACCTAGCTTTTTGCATAGTGTTAGAGTGGCTTATGGCTTTAAAAAAGCCAAATGAAAAAGCTGCTTGTTTGTTTAGGCTTAGACTTTTAGGCTTATAAGTTGACTTATAAGGCCCTCTTTGTTTAGGCTTAGACTTTTAAGTCAGCTTATTGGCTTATATGATTTATAAGTCGGTGGATTAATGTCCTAAGTTTAGTGGCGGAGCCATACATCTACCTCACATAAGCCAAAAAAGCTTCTCTAATCTAGCTTTTGGCTTAATAGTGTTAGAGTGGCTTATGGCTTTTAAAAAGCCAAATGAAAAGGTTGCTCGTTTGTTTAGGCTTAGATTTTTCGGCTTATAAGTTAACTTATAAGCCTAAACAAAGAGGGTCTAAGCCTAAACAAAGAGGGCCTAAGCCTGCTCAAACCCTAATCTCGGTCCAGTCCACACCATATATTCTCATTATCTCTTTCTAGGAGGGAGTAAGTTCAATTTAGATCCCTTAATTTGTTGTCGGGTCAGAAATTTGTCCCAAAACCTAAATACCAGGTATATCCTTCAACTCACAATACCGTGTCAACTTTAGTCCCCCAGCAGTATAATGGCCGGTTTTGGCTGACGCGGCGAGTGACACCGACGTGGGCCCCACATGTTAGCCATGAAGGGTGTCTGCCATGAGTGGGAGCTCATGGCGACGGGCATGTAGGCACGGCCGGGCTCCTTGTACCGCTGCCAAACTCCCTGTGGGTGCCTGTGGCACACGCACTGCTATCACCATCTTGCCGTCGCCGCCAAGCAACCGCTGCTAGAGCTGTCAAAAATGCTCGAGGCTCGTGAGCTACTCGAGCTTGATTTGTTATGAGCTCGATTCGAGCTCGGCTCGTCTAAGAATCAAACCGAGCTCGAGCTTGACTTTAAGCTCACGAGCCTACCAACACGAGCTCGAATAACTCGGCGAGCCTCAACATCTGGCTCATGTTCTTTCTCCTAGGTATTTCCTCCCCTTCTCTCTCTTTCTTACTCGGTCAAATTCTCTAGTAGTACTGGAGTAGCACAACTGCACAAGTACTGGCAGTGCCAGGGCAGAGGGAGCACTATGCATTTGTTGTCCCATTTCCCAACAAGAGAGTAGGAGTACTAGTGTGCGGCTTGCACAGTTGCATTAGTATACATAGGAGCACTAGTATTACTTTTAGGCCCTGTTTCTTTCAGCTTGGGATTATTATAATCCAGATTATTGGGAGTAAGCTGAAAGAAACAGACAACTTATTGAAGTAGCTTATTATAATCTGGAGCCCAGCTTATTATAATCTGATAAGCTCATTTAGGTGAGTTTTTTTCCAGATTATTGGGTGAAAAATTACCCACCATGCCACCCCACTCTCTCTTTAGACTTGCAAACCCAATAATCTAGGAAAGAAACAACTAACCGCTTATTCTACTATAGATTATAACAATCTAGCTTATAGTAATCTGACTCAATAATCTAGATTATAATAATCCCAAGCTGAAAGAAACAGGGCCTTAGCCGTCTAATCATGCATCACAGTGTCAGCTTTTTCTTTGAATGGAATGAATTGTTCCAGTATTCCACCGCACCAAACAGGCTTGAGAAAAGCTCGAAGCTCGAACGAGCCGAGCTCGAGCTCAACTTCAAGCTCGTGGCAAACCTAGACTCGGCTCGAGCTCGACTCGAGTCTATAGTGAGTTCGAGCCTACACATGGAAGCTCGCTCGAGCTCGGCTCGTTGACAGCCCTAACCGCTGCCCAACCTCAGTTGTGAGTCACCCTGCCGACGTCATCCGTTGTTTGTCACCAAACCGAACCACCATGGGCAACCAATAGGAAGACGAAGCCGGCGTCGCTTTCTTCCATCTCAAGCCGCCACTACCGTGTCCTCATCAGCGAATTCCATTGCAACCACCTTTCGCTGCCTATAAGAGACAACGATGTCTCCATTTTCCCCCACAACCAAACTCTTAGAGCTCTTGTCTTCTCTCTCTACCATGTCTGGCCACCACGCTGCCGCCGGTCGATCTCCCTCACCGGAGCCCCGTTGGCCAAACCTCGCGCCACCAACTCCACCTCGTCAAGGTGAACCCATTCCTCCACCTTTTCCTATCCCTTTTCTCACACATTAAGCCCCTACCAAAGTCCTCTATCTCCTGACGCATCACCACCCTGTCCTGCATCTCCCTTAGCTCGGCTGCCTACGTCACGGACCGCGGTTTGTCGTATAGCTCCTCCGCGCGTGACTTGAGCACGCCATGACGCTTTTCGAGGACGGCAACAACCAGCTTGAAGTTGCTCTGCTCGGTGGCGGTGCGCATGACCACCATGTCCTCCGTGGCCTAGACATGGTGCAGCTCCTACTCGACCTTCGGTAACACGTCGTAGTTCACGGGGTCCACCATGAGAGGGACGATCCCCGTGTCGCCTCCCATGTGGACGGTCTCCATGGTGACCATGCTCTGATAGGTGCAGCTCAGCATGATCAGGGTGGACTCCCCGTGCACAGTCGGGGCGCGCATGATGATGAGGAAGTCCCTCCCCTTCACCACTACAGATCGTATGTGACCCCCTCCTCACCGACTACCCTGCTCGATGCTTGAGTATCTGAGAAATGGGAAGAGACGGAAAAGGGAAAGGGACAGGGAGACGAGTTGGCTGCTGACAAGCCCACTTGGGTCCCACTCATCACGTCAGCTAAAAACAACTACTTTACTGCCGAGTGACCAAAATTGACATGGTATTGTGAGTTGGGATGAGGTACACCTGATATTTCGGTTCAGGGGCGAATTTCAAGACTCGGCGACAAATTGAGGGACCTGGAGTGAACTTATTCCTTCTAGGAGGCGAGGAACGCGACTCCGAAAGCCCAAAGCAAAAAACTCCCGTCGCGTGCCTGCTATTATCCATCCAACGCCAAGCAGCGTCTCTCCCTCGCCGATACAATACATGACATTGACACATACATACCCCGCGCCGTCCCACGGTCCCAGACAGGAAAGGGGTGTGTGTATCGGTAACCCGTTGGTTTGGGACCCCAACCCCACCCCGCCCGCCCTTTGCCCGACTCGGCGCCCGCACCCCCTTTTTGCCCTAAAACCCCAACCCCACCCCACACCGCCCTCGCCGCCGGCGTGTGGAGACAACGCCGCCGCATCTCTCCCTCTCTCTCTCTCTTCTCGCTACTGGTCTCTCGCCCCGCGCCGCCGCGCGGCAACCGTAATCTCGCAGGGGGGGCGCCGAGGCCGGGCTCCTTGCCGCCCTCGCCCCGCGCCGCCGGAACCCGCTCCGCCCTCTAGGTCTCCTTCCGCCGAGGCGCTCCTGCCACCCCGAATCGAAGGGGGGTTACTTCTCTCGGGTGGGTCTTCTCCCGTGGTTGAGACGGCGTCGTCGTCGTCCTCCGTTCTACTGGAAGTGGCGCGGATCCGGACCTGGATTGATTTCCTTCCCCGCGGTAAGAGTAACGAAACCCTAGCTCTGCTTTTCTAGTTCTGTTCGTTTCGCTGTTCTCGTTGATAGGCACCAATCGCCCTTATCCATCATATAGATTTGCTCCCGGTAGTTGTTTTAGGGTTTAGCGGAATCATCTGTCCCTGCCCTAGTTTTTTTCAGAACACGAGACGTGGTTTTGTTCTGATAATTCGATCCTCCCTTAGTTTTTTTTTTTTGGGGGGGGGGGTCGTGCTTAGATAAAATTTGAAATCTGTTTTCATGGATATGTATATGAGGGCATGTGGTTTAGGAGACCAGTTGTGTTCAAATGTCTAATCTATACCCGCTAGTAGGTCACTGGACTGATATCTAGTTTTAGCTCATTGGCTATGTATATAAGACATGTTTGTTTTTATGGTAACGGTAAGTTCTCTTCTTTCGCTTCTGTCGCTGAGAGAGGGAGGGAGAGGAAGGATCCAAAAGCCGGTATCCGTTACCCTGTTTACTAAATACTAACACAGCGTTATTTGTGTCTAAATACTGTGCCAAAGTGCAGCTGGCAGAGCAAGTTTGTTATTGAGTTTAGTTAAATATTGCAGTTATCTTCGGAAGAGGATCGATCCGTAAGCATTTAATGTCCTAACCCGTCATTTTCTTCCTTTCCTTGTCACTTGGCAGCCACTGTATTAGGAAAAACTTGTTTCCTCTTTTTCGCATCACATTTTGATGTGCTTTGATGGCAAGTAATATGCAACCTTCTGGGCCACCGCAGGTAAATGTTGTCTGGTTGTTTTAAGGATGGCAGTTTTCAGTGTGAAGTTTTGATTTTTGTCGTGTGATGTGCTAATTTTTTACCATTCTTTCTCTCTTTCTCTCTCTCTCAAGCAGCAATCTAGGCCCCCTATGATGGGCTCTAGTGTCCCACCACAAAATCTGGGACCTCCGATGCCTATGCAGGTAAACTGGAAGATTGAATTTTCCCCTTGTATCCACAGCATGGACCATTTTAATCATATTTTACATTCCTAATATGTCATCTCGTTCTCTAATTTCAGTTTAGGCCGGTGATTCATCAGCAACAACCTCCTCAGTTCATGCAACCGGGGCAGCAGTTTCGACCTGTTGGTCAGGCCATGCCAGGAGCTAATATTGGCATGCCAGGTCAGATGCCACATTTTCAGCAACCTACACAGCACTTGCCTCACTCTGGTCAAGTTCCACCTGCATCACAAGCAGTTCCTATGGCTTATCAGCCAGCTAGACCTATGTCATCTGGGCCTCTGCAGCCGCCAGCGACATTCTCTGGAGGCCATATGCCCACCATGGGAGGCCCTATACCGCCTCCATCCTATACGGCAAGTCCTATTTTTCCTTGCACTTTGTGGATTCTATTTGTTCATTTGATATATGTATTTAATTTCACAAAGCTATTGCCGGATCTTGAATGCCACCCCTTGCCGATAAGTTACTGATACTAGTATAGGCTACACTGCAGTATCAACCATCATCTGTTCCTCCTCCCATAGTGCAATCTTGGGGTACAGCTCCAGGTCAGAATGTACCTCTTGTGCAGCCTGGGCATCAGCCGATGTCATCTTCCGCTACAATGCCTTCAGTAAATATCACTGATCTCTTCTGAATCAGTTTATTTTTCTGTATTAAGTTTACTACTGTGCTTTATCAAATATGACATCCTTACCTTGCAATAATTGAGTTTGCAAATGAACAGATCAATTCCAGCGAAACTAGCTCTTCAGACTGGCAAGAGCACACTTCAGCTGATGGGAAAAAGTAAGTTGAATCATTTTACCTACTTACCTTTTGTTATTAACTTTCTGGTGGTGCTCAGTATCTTTTGTTGTGTTGCAAGTTTTCACCTTTATTCTTATTTGGTTGCTTTCTCTATTTCTCTCCTTTTTAAGGTACTACTATAATAAGAAGACAAGGCAATCAAGTTGGGAGAAACCTGCTGAGTTGATGACACCGTTGGAGGTTAGTTGTGCTGTGTGCTTATGTGTCATCTACACTTACCTTTTTGTAGATATATTCTTCGGTTACCTTAATTTTTTATATGCTAAACATGTCATGACTTGTTACATTTCCCTTAGGGTGTTCTGTCTATCTCTTAAAATTTATGGAATGGTCTGTTCTACTTCCATCTACTTTACAATAGTCCATATCCTAACACGCACTACAAAACTGCTTACTGACTCATCTCCACTTTGAAAGGAAGTACTAAACACTCTTCGGTTGTGGTTTCCTAAGCAACTGTCATGTTGGTCACATACATGGCATCTTGGTCTTGTTAAGTTTAAGTTGCTAAATTAATTGGTAATCCATCTAATAGAAAGAGGAGAGATATAGGAGGAATAGTCAAAGAGAGATTTGTGTTTATTTTTACATGAATTTCCTGAATATGTGCAATGACTTCCTTTCATGGCTTATGGGCTTTTGCTGACTTGTCTGATATAGCCACCATTTGGATTGGTATTGCTACTACCAATTCCACCATCAGGTTGTAAACTGCACTGGATTTTAAAGTTGAGGGGCTTATTCAATTTGGACCATCTTGAAAGTCTAAAGGGGGTGAATTGGAATTCATCACTATATTGACTACTTCTATTTCCAGAATGAACTCTTTACTCTTTCCACGAGAGGACAATGCATGTTCTTAGTTTCTTACTGAAATGATGTATGGAACGTTTAGCGTATTACAACTTCAACTTTATCTTTGATTCTGCATCTTTGCTATGCTAAAAGTTACGTGTTCTTAATTATTTATTTTTTGATGTAACAGAGAGCTGATGCCTCTACTGAATGGAAAGAATTTACTACACAAGAGGGTCGAAAGTAAGTTCTTGATGGAACACATGCTATCACATCTGTATGAAGTTAAACAAATCACTTTCTTGCCGGTTCTTATTATTCTGTCATTCCAGGTACTATTACAATAAGGTGACAAAGCAATCCAAATGGACGATTCCAGATGAGTTAAAGGTTTCCCAGCCTTCTTTGATGTTTGATTTTATATTTGTTTATTGAATATTGTTGTATATCTATAAACAATTTTTTCTTCCCTTTTAGATTGCGCGTGAATTAGCAGAGAAGGCGTCAAATCCACGCCCTGATCAAGAAACGGAAACAACTGCTGGTGCTCCTTCTGGACCCACTTCAAACTCTGTGGAACCTTCTTCTGTACCTGCTAACCAGTCCTCCACAACGATTATGGGTGCTCCAAGTACACTTGATGCAGCAGCGAACTCTGTTCCTCCTGGTGCTGGCCCTTCGCACAATATGGAGAACACCTCCAGTTCATCTAATACTGCCATGCAAAATGGTGGTCCAAGTACCGTTGTTACTCCTGTTATAAGCACAGAAATTCCATCAGTTGCAAGTGATGCAGGGATTAGCAGGTAACTGTCGATGGTTTACTCAATGCTTCCTCACCAGTCACCACTTAAATGTTGCTAATATAGTTGTTATATGATTTGTTCAGAGCCAATAACGAATACCCATCTCTAGCTAGCACTGCTGACACTCAAAATGGAGCATCTGCTGAAGAATTGGAGGTACATGTGGTGTCCTCTCACAGGGTTCTAGACTTATAGTTTGAGTTCTTAATATTTGCAAGTGTATGATAATTGAGTTATGACCTCTTCTGCCTGGAGCTATGTTGTTGAATGATGGGCAGGGGAGAGTAGACACTAGAGAAAATGGGAGTTAGGCGATAGATTAGCTTGTCTTTCATTGATTTCAAAACTGTGCCAAATCCTCATGAAAAGAGATGAGAGAAGCACTAACAGTCTTATTTAATCTCAAATATTTGAAAGAAACAAAATCTTATCTGAACAAGTAATCTCGTGAAAGAAACTAAAGATCCCCTAGGATAGCTCAAGCTGGTTTGGTGCTTCAAAATTAATGTGAAACATATGTTCTGGTCCTTCAAAATTACTGTGAACTTACGTCTGATAAATCCTGTACTCTGGTAACACCGATACTTCTATGGGAGTCAATAGTCATTTAAGAACCTAATAAAGTATGAGATTGTAAGAAAAATGTACCACTTATTTTCTCATGCCATTGCTTGTAATTTTAACAATGTAATCTCAATATCATATCATCTCCATATTTTTCCTGCTTTGAAATATGTGTATACTTGCTGTATCCACATTTTTCAAAAATTTCGTATCCCCGTATTGCCGTAACAGTATCGTTTATCTGTGATTCCTAGGATTGATTGGATATATTCTACATGTTAAGTAGCTTAATAGTCTGAGCATTATTCCCACACTGGTGAATTTTCAGTTGAAAATATCTATTATCACCATCCTGTGCAATATTGCCATGATACATGCTACTTCTTACTTGGAACGTATGTTAGGGTGGACAATTGTACAAGAATTGCTGTAATACAAATCCCAAGGTGTGACTCAATTCGGATGGAAGCAAACACTGATTTTTTTCCTTACATGGATATGTATGCTTTGTTTAATACGAAAAGAAAATATGCAAAATTTCACAAAACTACAGATACTTTGTCCAAATTATCGCAAAACTATTGATTTAAGGTGATATATATCACAAAACTACAGATTTAACAATAAATTTATCACAAAACTACAGGTTTAAGACTAAGTATCGCAAAACTACAGGTTTAATAATAAAATTGTCACAAAACTAAAGATTTTATGGTTTAAATCCTTAATACTAATGTTATGTTTGAGTTATAAACGTCCAAGTTTTGTGATTAAATATGCGCTAAACTTGTAGTTTTGTGATAACTTTGTTACTAAATCTGTAGTTTTGCAATACTCCACCTTAAATCTGTAGTTTTGTGATAAATTTAGTATTAAATCTATAGTTTTACGATAGCTTGGTCAATATATCTGTAATTTTGTGAAATTTACTCCAAATAGAGAAATATCATTTGCTACATCTTTATTCTTTCATTTCAAGTCTTGGATATTTTTTCTGGGGTTAGCGTGAGTTGGGATAAGGAAATCATCCTGCCTACTCCCTCAGTGAACTACAAGGGTAGCTATATTTTGGGACGTAGGGAATAGTGAGTGGTGACAGAAGCATGTCAATTTGAGTTTAATTCCTTAGAAGAAATTTAGGCCTACTTAGGGTTGGGCTATGCCGACGGTCACAGTTGTGCTCTTCTAAGTGCCTACACATTTGCATTTGATATATCTCACTCTCGTGTTTGTGTGTTTGTGTGTCTGTCTGTATGTATGTGTTTATATGTGTATACCTGTACATTTATGCTGCTTATATTCTCTGTAGGAGGCCAAAAAGACCATGGCAGTTCCAGGGAAGATCAATGTTACTCCAGTAGAAGACAAAACTAGTGAAGAAGAACCTGTGACCTATGCTAATAAGTTGGTAAGGGAAACTTGCACATATTAAGAATTGACTGTGCATTTCAAGTTTTAAGCTCATATAGGTACACTTTTCTTTTGACTTATAGGAAGCTAAAAATGCGTTCAAAGCTCTGCTTGAATCATCAAATGTTGAGTCTGATTGGACATGGGATCAGGTATGTAACTTTACTTGAATCGATATCAGTTAATGAATTGCTTGACACTGATATAATATGTCTAGGCTATGAGGGTCATCATAAATGACAAAAGGTATGGTGCCCTCAAAACTCTTGGGGAGAGGAAGCAAGCTTTTAATGAGGTTAGCTCTTTGTTGTACGAGCTAGAATCTGTCTTAGCAATTACATGGAATGTTGAAGTCTTCTATTGCATTGTTTTATTCTTCACTTAGTGGTTCACTGAAGCCAGGCCTATTTGTTTTTGCAGTATCTAAACCAGAGGAAAAAGCTTGAAGCAGAAGAAAGACGTATCAAACAGCGGAAGGCACGTGATGATTTTTTAGCTATGCTAGAAGTAAGATATCTAACTCATGTTATGTCCCTTACTAATACTCATTTGTCTTGACTATACTGACTATTTTACTTTCTGCTATGTGTTTTAGGAATCTAAGGAGCTTACTTCATCAACAAGATGGAGGTATGCGCCACTGACTTCAAGCTTCTATTCATACATAATAACAGTCCTGTGATAGTTCGATGCAATTTTGTTTACCAAACTGTTAGTTTCTAGTTGCTGTTTACATTGTAACTTTTTGTGGGGGTGCTGGAGGATGCCTTATGTTTGTTCGTGTTCAATGTTATGCAGTAAAGCAATAACTATGTTTGAGGATGATGAACGGTTTAGTGCTGTTGAGCGTCCAAGGGAGCGTGAAGACTTATTTGAGAGCTATCTTATGGAACTACAGAAGAAGGTTCTGTCTTATAGAAATTCTGTTCCCCTTTTAAATTTTAATTGGTGTTGGGCTTATCTGTTTGTAGAATACACTTTTGGGAATCTTATTCTGCAATTTCTTAGTTTTTTTAGTATGTCTAAGAACAAAACTAGAGATTTTTCTGGCATGACTTGACTGTATGGATCAAGATCTAAGTATCTACGATCATCCTGTTATAGGAAAGAGCCAGGGCTGCTGAAGAGCACAAAAGGCACATAGCAGAATATAGAGCTTTTCTCGAGTCATGTGAATTCATAAAGGTTGTTTCATTACTACTCCTATTAACTGTTTAGTCAATTAGTATGCAAACAGCTTCATCAATGAGAAACATATATATTTCTGTGCTGCAGACAAGTACCCAGTGGAGAAAAGTTCAAGAACGTCTTGAGGATGATGAACGCTGTTCCCGACTTGAAAAGATCGATCGACTGGAGATTTTCCAAGTTAGTATTTTTTTAGATCTGCAGTGACTTTCTTTATTTTGTGCTTCAACTATGCATTTCTGTGCAATCCAGGAGTATATAAGGGATCTGGAGAAAGAAGAGGAAGAGCACAAGCGGATACATAAGGTTTTTTTGGTCACATAACGTTCACTTCTTTTTTTTTTGTTCGATGTCTTGAACCACTATGGATGTTTAATATAAGTCAATTCTGTCAGGAACAAGTAAGGAGGCAAGAGCGCAAAAATCGTGATGAATTTCGCAAGATGTTGGAAGAACATGTAGCTGAAGGAATGCTTACTGCAAAAACTCGTTGGCGTGATTACTGTGCCCAGGTCATTGAAATCGACCTTTTATAAATACGATTAAAATGACAACATTTTTTTTCTTGATTCATAAAATTATCGATTTACAGGTTAAAGATTCCTCTGTGTACTTGGCTGTGGCCTCGAACATAAGTGGTTCAATGCCAAAAGATCTGTTTGAAGATGTAATGGAGGAGCTTGAGAAACAGGTTGGCCTTTAAAATTCGTAGTATACTCTTGCTTATCCAATGTATTAAGTCATCAATGTGCTATAGTTGCCTCTATGCCTGAATTTGGAATTGCAATTATCATGGCAAGTAAAATCTGTAGTGAATAGAGGTGGCCAGCAACTATGGCAAAAACCTACATCTTGGTCCTGCTGAAAGATGTTAATTCTATCCATTCTCATGCTTTGTAAAACACAATAACAAATTTTATTTCCATCATGTCACAAAAAAGCACGAGTCTACAATATTTTCATCTCATCACAATCACCATTTAAATTCTGGAATATCTGTTATTTTTTGTTATGCATGAACTTATGTACCTACCATCCTTTTATCTCAGTATCAAGATGACAAAGCCCGAATTAAAGAAGCAGTGAAGTCTGGAAAGGTACCTTTTATTTTACAAGCTTGCTCCATAGGTAAGTTTTACCTGTAGAAATTAGTTTGCCATCTGGCTGACAAGGTAATTTTGTTTAGATTCCTATGACGACTTCATGGACACTAGAGGATTTCGAAACTGCTGTTACGGAGGATGATACTTTGAAAGGAATAACAAACATAAACATGAAGGTATTATTGTTTTGTCACCCTGAAAATTTGATTATGTTTGATGAAGATGATAATATATGTGTATTATTGATGCTGTTCTTGCGGTAACAATTTCCATGTTCAGTTGTAGGACTGATAAGAATTTTTGTCGATATTGTTACTTATCTTTGCTGGATCTGCTGCAGCTTATTTTTGATGATCAAGTTGAAAGGCTCAGGGAAAAGGAGGTAAAGGAAGCAAAGAAGCGCCAGCGTCTGGGTGAAAATTTCTCAGATCTTTTGTACTCAATCAAGGTATGACACTCTGTAATTTGTTGTACATCATGCCTATTGATTGCTGATTACCTACATTGAATTGTCCTGTTATGCTTATCCAAAGTCCAGCAATTTTCAGGACAAAGTTAACATAGCAGTGTAGAACTATTTAACAGCCTGGAAGACTTTTGGGCTGCCGACATGATCCATAAATGCCTTCTATTTTATTCATTTATTTATACTTTTGTTGCATATATAGTACTGATAAAATCAATTTACAATGTAGTTCCTTTTTAAAAATTATATGGATGATTGGTAGCATGGCAATGAACTGTATTTGGTAACTGGTAATCAAATTCGAAGTGTGTAGTTGAAAGATATCATGGAAAAGTGGCTGCACTTTGGTACTCATTGAACTAAGTTGTTAGTTATTGGTAACATTCTTTTATAATTCACAGATGTGGTATTATTTATGTTTTTGCATAGAAAAATAGTTGATGAGTTGGAACCATAAATACTACTGGTGTTGTTGGAGTGCATGAATCATGAGCTTTTATGGCTCACTAAATATGATTCTTGAAAGCTTTTAGGTCAGAACTAATTTTGTTGATGATTTCCTATAGCTGTGACTTGCAATGGTTTGAGGAATTGATAATTGAATTAGGGTTACCCACTTTATGTACAGTAAAATTGGTCTAAAGGTGACAGCAAGGTTATCTAGTATAGTTCTAATTGTGTGCAATGTGGTCACAGAAACTGGCCAAAATAAAGAAGTCCATCTTGTTTTACTTTTGTTGCATATTGATAAATCATGGATAGACATTCATTTCAAATCGTAAAGGCATACGAATTTGGCACTTTGTTAAAGCTTTATTGGAGGACATTAGGAGAAATGGTTGCATGTGGAACCTACATTCATGAATGCACTTTGCTTTACACCAGGTGCAACAGCATGGGCAAATAGTTCAGTATTATCTATAGAGTCAGTTAGACTAGTCACGAGACTACACTTTTGAGATTGATCTTTTTTGTACTGATGTATATTTCTTTGAAAAAAATGCAGGAAATATCAGCTTCTTCAACATGGGATGATTCTAAAGCACTATTCGAAGATAGCCAAGAGTACAAGTAAGGGCAATCCTCTGAAAATTACTGTATTGTGACAAATGTTTACCATGCCTCCTGGTTATACTAAACTGGTTGGTGTACTGGCTTTGCCAGCTGGAAGGAAGTTAGTTCCGTAAATAGGATACTTGTGTTCAACCTGGTGGTAAATAGGATACGTGGGTTCAATCTTGCAATTTTGTGGGGGGAAGCAATCAGAATTGGTAGATCCATGTATTTCAAGGTGTCGTTTAGATGACGCTGAAGCCACAAGGCAAGGCCTAAGAAACCTGGTCTGCGGGACGAGCCCACATTCCACGTCGTCGTGACGCATCATAGATCGTGGATGGGTCGTTGCCTGATCATCGTCCCGGGCGTCAATTGGTCGCTGCTTGGTCTATGAAGTCTCCATGGCGTTGCCTCAGCCATTAGATGGGGAACAAACTGAAGAGGGGAAGGGAGTGGACAAGAGAGAAATGGATGGGGGCGTCAATTGGTCGCTGCTTGGTCTATGAAGTCTCCATGGCGTTGCCTCAGCCATTAGATGGGGAACAAACTGAAGAGGGGAAGGGAGAGGTGGAGAAGAGAGAAATGGATGGTGACAGGGGTGCAGTCGATGCCCTCGAATCGACTTGCACGAGGGGCTGGTGATAGCGTTGGCCGAGGCTTGCGTTGTCTTGTCGCCCAAGAGGTGGTCGCGCAATGGGGGCACTGATGTTGGTGGCTAAGGAGGGCGCAAGCTGCGGGCTATGTGGGAGAAGAGAACAGAGGTTCTCAGATATGATTAAGTGGTTAACATGTTAATGAGCCACGCTAGCCCATTTGGCCTAGTTCACAACATAAAGAGATAGTGATAGGAGAACGTCTGGCCCTCTTGTGCAAGCAGAGCATCGCTCGAGTTCATTGGTCGATTCCACGCCTTGTCATGCTCTGTCTTCTCCAATCTTCTCTCATTCCGAATGTACATCGTGGATGTCGTCCCAAAAACATTTGTTCTCGACCCGCATTCTTAACCAGCGTTCCAAAAGATGGACTCCATTCCTCGTGATTCAGGAACTTTTGTGACTCCATCTTGTGGGCAAGGGCGTTCCAAAAGATGGACTCCATTCCTCGTGATCCAGGAACTTTTGTGGCTCCATCTTGTGGGCAAGGAGTGAGGGAAATGAGAGTGGAAACTCACCCTGCGTGGTGGTGCTTCCATCCTGCCATGGATCTGCACAAACCACATTATAGCTTATTGCACAAGAGGGAAGGAGGGGCTACTCTGTATGGGAGAGGGAGGAGTACGTATTGCACCTCTACTATGCTAGGGCAGCTGAGGAAAAAGAATTGGTGGGCTTTAAATAGGCTCTTCCGCTGACTTAAGTGTACGAAGCTAATGTGGTGACTTGCTGAACGCATTGTTGACCCATATATTTTCTCATTTTCTTGCTCTCTTCTTTCTTTTGTTGTGTACGTTCGCACCCTGTGTACACCCTTCTGCCTAGATCATAAAGAGTGCTGGGTCGCCTTGTCGTGATGAATGGCCATAGTAACGATGGGTCGAAGAAAAGTTTGCGTTGAAGTCTTGAGATGTTGTAATCAGAGTACTGTGGCACATCCATTTTATATATAATTTAATTCATATTGCAGAATTTTAGGACCTAGATTCTCTTGTGCTAACTGTATGTTACATTGTTACTCAATACAATTTATAGCTCACACATAAAAAAAATTTGTGTCCAATGCAGTAAGTATGGCAAATCAGTTCTCTATAAATAATGGTTTTTGTATCTGTTCACAAACATGGCAAGCAAGGCAGTGAATTACTGAATTGCCTGAATCAGATTTTAACTGAGCTTCCTTTGCAAAATACATGTTCCTTGAATGACTGAATTTGCTTGACTGTTTTCTGTCATACTTTTATGTTATTTATGTCTTACCTGGGTTTTGAATGATTTTATACTATTTTTTGCATTAGGGCATTGGACAGCGAAACATACTCTAGAGAGCTTTTCGAAGAGTGCGTTGTCCACTTGAAAGAAAGGTTAAAAGAGAAAGAGCGCTTGAGGGAGGAAGAAAAGGTAATGTACTGATGGCTGTTTTATCATATGATATATTGTTTACCTGCATTTCTTGAAGGTGTCAGAATGTGTATAACATGGTTGAAACATCGTTACTTGTATGTTGTATCAGCAGCATCTGTTTCTTTGTCAGGTGTAGCATTGACTTATGTTTTTTTCGCCTGAATTTGTATCTTCTATTCAGGCAAGAAAAGAGAAGGAACGTGAAGAGAAAGAACGGAGGAAAGAGAAAGAAAAGAAGGAGAAAGAACGCAAAGAAAAAGAAAGAGACAAGGAGAAAGAAAGAGAAAAGGACAAAGGAAAGGATCGGTCGAGGAAAGATGAGATGGATATTGATGCTGTTGATGCAGATAGCCATGGCTCAAAAGACAAGAAAAGAGAAAAGGACAAGGAAAAGAAGCATAAGAGACACCACCATGACACTGCAGATGATGTGAGCTCTGAAAGGGATGAGAAGGATGACTCTAAAAAGTCTCGTAGACATAGCAGTGATCGCAAGAAATCAAGGAAGGTATAACATTTGTGCTTTCGTGCAAATCAAGCTTCTAAGTATTGGCGATTTGGTGCTGATATGGCACTGTATCATGCATACAGGCCCCGGTACTAGGATAATAAAAACTACCAGTTTAGTGCTAAATATATCAGCAGACATTGCCACCATCCCTTGAGGAGTACCTTCCACCCTCACCAAATATTAGTGCTGATATACGTTTACCAACTTTTATTGAACTGAAAGACTGTGCTTTGCCTTTGTCTTGTGATGTTATTTGGACTCATTGGTGGATGATTTTGTTTGTGCTAAAATTTAAGTCGTCTTTTGTTTGTAAAAGCCATAGTGGCTGTAGGACACTGCAAACATGTCTGTCACAGCTTTTGGTGAACCGTTACAAGCTGACATTGCCATCACTTCATGCTTTCTACCAAAAAGTAATTTGGTATTTTAATACTGTAATTTTTATTGGTGAAATGGGAGAATTGGGTTTAGGATGTTCAAGCAAAAAGTAACACTGCCATATATACCACCTTCGAACTAATAATATTAGATGGGCTGCTTACTTTATTAGCAATGTCATAGGATGTCCTTAAATCTTGTTAATTGATCCCTACTGTGTGAAAGCACTTTGAAATATGAATCTATTGGTATAACCTTTGTACAGTATTTTTCAGTAGGTAAAGAAATGCACTTTGTATTTTGGCCACCCCCACCCCCCAAACAAAGCTGTAAAGTTTGATAAGTATAAATAAAAAATACCTTATGAATTTACTTATAATTTGACCAACTTTTTTTTGTCACAATCTACAAAATTTGACTTTGTAAATCAACTATGCCTTGTAAATCTCTTGCATAAAGTATATGATATTTGTATTCAACCAGAAATCTTGTCTCTAGCCCTTGTACCAGCAATAATCTTGTTAAAGTGCTCCCTATTGTTTGAAAGCACTATGTAATATGAATCTATTGGCATCTTGATGAATCTTTTGGTATAACCTTCTTACTGCAAATTTACTTGTAATTTGACTAACTACTTTTTTGGGGGTCAAAATCTACAAAGTTTTGACTTTCTAATCAACTATACCTTATATCTCTCTTGCATGTTTGATATTTGTATTCAGCAGGAAATCAGTTTTGTAAATCACATGGTTGTTTATCTGATTGAGTAAACTTAGTTAGAACATGTAATGATTTTATGAATGCTATTAATGCAGCATACCCATGCTTCGGACTCTGATAGTGAAAATCGGCACAAAAGACACAAAAAGGATCGAGATAGCTCCCGCAGAAATGGCACACGTGATGACCTTGAAGATGGTGAACTTGGAGAAGATGGGGAGATTCATTAGTCATTCGTTTCTCCGCTGAGATTGTCAGTACTACTGCTCCTTGCCATGTTATTAGTTAAATACCGTTTTCTTGTTTTGCTCAAGTAGCGCATCTGCTTAAGAATTTGGTAGTGTCAATCACTGTTATTAGTGTACATGCTCTGAGATTTACTTAGTATTTTATACTATTTTGCAGTATCACAATACAGTCCCCCCTCCTGTTTTGGACATATGAAATGGTGCATTTTGTTGGCAACTATAAATGCTTTCCTCCAGAGAAGGACAATTTCTTTATGGGGATTATCTTCTTGTCTTGATCTGGCTTGTTGGAAATGGACAATAATAGCCTTCATTGTTTGGATGCTCACAATGTAGTCATGAAGGTTCTTGTACTGCAAAACTTTTGTTGCCTTTAGTTATCTTCTTATCCCCTTCCCTTTGTCAGTCTGGGTATAGGTTGTATTTGTTATAGGAGGGGGAGGGCTGTAAAGTGTTTAGTGGCTGAAAAAGATCCTTTAGAAGGTTAGGTGCGAAATGCATGCAATGCTGAGGTTTATAACTGAATTTCGTTGAATCATCTGTGCCCAGTGGCCACTGTATCCTGATTAGAGCTCTTGATCTACAAGACTTGTGTTTCTCCATGGATCTCCCGTCTCCTGCATTATGTTGCCATTAAGCGGCACCTGGCTGTTGCTGTAACACCGAGGCCTGTCTGTGGGTGCATGGAATGCAAAGCACACTTGGTTGGAAGCATGGCAAGAGGCAAAGCCTGCCCAACTCACTCATTGGTCGTGCTGCTGCAGCAGTTTCATACTCGTTTTGACGTGGTTTTCACTTTGGAGTTGTTTAACATCTTGTTATTTACTATGCCATCTAACATAGTTTTCGTATGGTAGCAGTTTTGTAATAGTTTGCTGCTATTTATGGTGCTTTATAGATAGATGTACTTGCAGCTGACGCTGTTGATATTCTCATGAATACATTGATTCTGTAGGCTATGTTTGTTGGATGGCTGATACTGAAACGATAACATGATCCATCCTGGTATTATGGCTGTAGATTATTAACTTTTTTTGTTGGAAGGGAACAATTTACTAACTAATCTTCACAGACGGACCCTTTGCATTTGGGTGTTTAAGTCATTCATTGCTGCTGTTTGTTCATGATGACCATTATGGTCTGTACTGGAGCTGTCTATTCAACTAGTTTCTCAATCCCTGTAACCGTCGGGTTGCATGCGTTTTGTGATGTGTGGCATGTGTGCTGCGTTTCAATTGGCTTTTATTAGTTGCAATGAATTATCCACCAGTAGTTGAAAGTCGGCAAAAGCTGCATGCTTGGAAACTATCCAACGGCAAACAAGTCATGCATGTCCAGACAACTCGCCTACAACGGTTGAACCCAAATCTGTACAGCATAAGATTTAGGGGTCCTTAGGAATGGAGGAAAAATCAATTTATAGGTAAAACTTTTTATATGTGTTCTTAGCGACTTAAAAGCCAATGCTGAAAAAGAAACTACGTTGAAATATCTTAAAATCAATTTTAAAATTAAGTTTGAAAATTGAAATTTTGGCTTTGTCATTTACTTATTAGGAGAACCGATGTAGCCGCTCCTCTTTAGGTTGTCTAGACCAATCTCAAACATCTGTTTTCTCAAAGATATAGTTTCTATCAAAGCTCCATATAGGGCTGGACAAATAGCTCGGGCTCGTGAACTCGGCTCAAGCTCGGCTCGGGCTCGCCTGGCTCGGCTCGGCTCGAATCCTGAACGAGCCGAGCCCGAGCCTGGGTTTTAGCTCGTTTGTGAACCGAGCCGAGCCCGAGCCAGCTCGCGAGCAGCTCACGAGCTTAGTAGGCTCGGTTTGAATAGAAAGACTTCTGGCTGAAAACCAAAAAAGCCCATCAATTTGTTATATGTTGGCTGCATATAATATACTTAATTATCTTTGTAGGGACTTGAGAGTTATTATCTGAATAACCAAGTCATTGCAAAGCAACACAACTGCTGCTGGCAATACAACTGCTGCTATTGCAAAGCTCACGAGCCAGCTCGAGCCGGCTCGAGCCAGACCACGAGCCGAGCCGAGCCTAATGTACAGCTCGGTTGGAGAGCCGAGCCGAGCCAAGCCGAGCCTGGCATTTCGCGAGCTTCCACGAGCCGAGCCGAGCCTGGCTCGGCTCGCCTCGTTTCCACCCCTAGCTCCATACAACCTCTGTTTCAATTTTCTTATCGCTCTAGCATTTAAAATTTTGGTGAAAGTACTTTTCGTTCTCATACTCCAAAACATTTTCCGAGATGTATACTTTCCTTCTTACCCATAATCAATGCATCCATACTACTATTTGTACTCATCACTGGAAATTTTAATACTTGCCTTAAAAAGATTATTGTTATGTTATTAATACGGTAGCGATGTAAATTGCCACAACGATTTAATTTGTAACATATGGAGAACGACAAGCAAATTGAAGAAGTACCAACTTAGGGCAGTCTCAACCCATAGTGTCCATAAACAGTGTCTATGGTGACATATCAATAAGACATTACAATGGAAACTACACTTCACAACCCATGATTTCTTAAAGTGGGTCATTAATAAATACATCATCTCTCTTCTTTACCAATCATATTTATTCTTCATCTACTATGAAGACACTATTTTCTCCCAATGCAAAACTTGATAGTGTCTAGTGCATATGTTCTCGTGTTGAAACTGTATCTTGCATGAGACCCAGTTTCTTTCTCTCTTCACTCTCTCTCTCTCTTAATTAATATAGTGACACATAAGTTAAAAGTCCTACATGTGAATGTAGTTAATACCATAGACACCATCCTAAATGGAGGGTTATGATTGCCCTTGTATCACTTCCCAGTTCCCACCGCTAATTTAAAAGAAATTGAGACTAAAAATCAAATTCTCATACTGATCCACCTTTATTTCTCACTGTCTTAACTTCCCATCCTCTTCCCCAACAATGTAGACACGAATCAAGATGTCCAGCGCGTTCCCAATTCTGCAGCCATAAAAGAAAAAAAAACAATTTTGAGCTAGAAAGATGGCAGTTAAGTATGGCACCAAGTCACCAACGGCCAATCAAACCAAACTGACGTATTTGCAAATGAAACATAATTTATAAATAAAATTTTTATATACATATTTTTGGCAGTTTAGAATCCAAGGCTAAAAAATAAAATACGATAAAAGAATCCTAAAATCAAATCTAAAATGAAAATTTTAAAATTTAGCTGATAAACGTAAGAATAAGCGAGAAGACAAGCCTGAAACTTCAGTCACTCTCACGCGTGGAGTTCTTCATCAGTCCATGGCTGGCAGTGTCCAGCAATAGCTGCGTCTCGCCGCGCAGCAAACGGCGGAGCAGGCGGAGCTGCACGCGCTCCGGCAATGTCAGGTCGTCGTCCAGCACCGCCGCCGCGAGCCTTGCGTCCACCTCCCTCCACGCGGCGACCAACACGAGGCGCCGTCGTCCCCCACGCTCGAGGTCGAGGGTCGTCAGAATCCCGGAGCCGAGCGCCGCCGCGACCACCAGCTCGTCGAGGAGGGCTGGCAGCTCAAGCTCGGCGACGGCGACAGCGACAGTAGCGCGGCCGTGCTGCTTGCCGTCTCGCCGCCACGCCTCTGACTCCGCGGCGTCGCCGTTGATGGCGCAGAGCGCCGCGGCGAGCTCGTACGGCTGGGAGTCCGACGGGTCTTTCTGCACGGCCGCCTTGTACCGCCGCAGCGCGTCGTCGAAGTCCCCGTCCCTGGCGGCGAGGAAGGCGAGGAGGAGGTTGACGTCGACCGCCGCGAGGTCGTCGCCCTCCGCCTCGGCGTCGGCGAGGGCGCGCTCGGCGGTGGCGCGCGCCTCTCGGAGTCGCTCGCCGCAGAGCGGCCGCGCTCGGAGCAGCGACGCGAGCATCGCTTGGGAGCATTCCACGAGGAACACCGGCTGCAGGTTGACGGGCTTGATTTCGCGGCCACCGGAGGAAGGCGGCGGCGGCGTCGACTTCGGCCTCGTGAAGTACGGAAAACGGCTGTACTTGGACACGAAGAGGCGTAGTGCGGTGAGCAGCAACGAAATGGCCAGCTTGTCCGCGACGGACCACTCACCTTGCTCGAAATTCTTGACGAGCACGGCCTCGGCGAGCTTGGCCGCTAGCAACATGACTACCCTGTCGGCGGCACCTTGGGTGTACAGCGGCGAGGACCCGGGCATGGCGAATACGACCTCGAACGCCACCCTCCATCCGGCGTCCTCTGGGAGGCCGTTGAGCCACTCGGCCGGGGTCCCCATCCGGCCGTGCAGGAGGCGCAGCGCGGCGGAGGTGATCCGCAGGTGGGGGTCGCCTGGTCTGTCCGCGACCAGCCGGGCGACATCGGCGAGCGCTTGGTCGAATCGGCCGTCCCGAGCGTGTACGAGTGCCAGGCCCATCTCGACCCGGTAGACGACCGTGGACTCCGCGGCCGCTAGTTTCTTGGCATACTCACGGAGGTACCTGCCGGTGAAGGTCGGAGCGCGGAGTGCACCGGCGGCGAGCGCGTGGGCCGCGTCGAGGAACAAGGCGTCCCTGCCGCTGCTGCTGCCGGCGAGGGCCGCGTTGAGGTCCCGCAGCCCAGGGTGCGCGCGGACGAGGCCCAGGTGTCCGCGGGTGGTGGTGGCGGCGCCGTCTTGCGGCGGATGGGAGACGCGGACGGAAATCCCCGACAGCTTCGCCGCCACGGCCGCCGTCCCGGCCAGTGCCGCGGCGAGGGCGGCGCGGCGGAGTCTGGACATGTAGCCGTTTGCTCTCCGGCGGCGAGGAGAAAGTCTCGTGGTTTGCTGAGGATTCGTCGTGCTTGTACTGGACGTTACTGGACGCTAGGATGCAGAGCTCTAAAAGATGAAGGAATCCTTTCCCTATATAGGTGTACTACGTCTGGAACTCTGGATGTTCTGCGCTTCTCAAGCGAACGGCCCAATACAAATTTTGAAATATTTTCGTCCAACAGGTCCATGCAGGAGCATAGTTATTAGTAAGGGTGAAAACGGTAACGGAACCGGCGTTCGTTTCTGACTTTCTACCGGTCGAGCTATATAGAAATGGTAATTGACCCAAAAAATTGGAAATGGTAAAAAATATGGAGATGGAAACGGAAATGGTTTTGCTGTTATACCGATCGTTTCCGTATTTACCGTATTTTTATGGAAATTACTGTTTCTTATAATAATTACTGTATTTCTAGATATGTTGATATTTATAGGGTATGTCTCTACTTTACCCACAGTTTAGAGATTGATTGACTCTTCAATCAAATCCTAACTTGAGTGCGTGGCTAAAATGGATTTAATTTATAATTTATATAGTATAGCTTAAATTTATTTATACATATAACATACTTATGAGTTAAATATATGTTTTCTATAGTTTAATGTTTCCGTATTTGTTACCGGGTTCCGATCTGTACCAACATATTTCTATCCGTATTATTCCGTTTCCGGTTTTCCGATATTTCCGATATCGTTTTCGTTTCTGACTTTACCCTTTTTGATTTCATTTCCGAGAAAATATGATTATGGAAATAGTTAAGGCTGTTTTCCGATCGTTTCCGACCGTTTTCGTGAGGCGAGGCAGGTTCAATGTGGCTTCGTGAAAATAAAATTTTCTATGCCACATCGGACGTTTCACCGGTTGTTGGAAGGTGTTTTCGGACACGAATGAAAAAACTAATTTTATAACTCGTCTGAAAACCACGAGATGAATTTATTAAGCCTAATTAATCTATCATTAGCACATGTGGGTTACTGTAGCACTTATAGCTAATCATGGACTAATTAGGCTCAAAAGATACGTCTCGCGATTTCCATGCAAACTGTGCAATTAGTTTTTCTTTTTATCTATATTTAATAATGCTCCATACATATGTACAGAGATTCGATGTGACGTTTTTGGGAAAAAATTTCTGGGAATTAAACAATGCCTGTATAGCACATAGTATGTATTACTCCATCCAAAATATAGTAATTTTTAGTCTTCAGGACTTATACTAAAATATACTACTAACAACAATTACAATCATCCGCCATTTAATTTCTCCACCTACCTCCACTTCTCATCTAATTACAACATTTCATCATTTAATTCTACCTACTTTCTAAATAAATGTGTCCAACCCTAAAATTCTGTAGGTAGTACTTCACTACTGAATTGCTAACCTTCATTCGACAAAAATTTTAGGTGAGAATTCTGTTGAACCCTTCACGGTTGGATTCATGTCACATTTTTTCTTCTCGAGCTCCGACGAATGAAGGCGGCCCGACAAGTTCAAGTCTCGATTTGGGGTTGGGGTGGAAAGGGGGTGGGAGGGGGGGGAAGAGGTGGGAGTTCGACAGCCTTAGAGGGATGGCCATGGGAGGCTGCGACCCAGCGGTGAGCCATGGAATGGGTAGGCGGTGCCGCCGAAGTTGTGGGGTTGGCAACTGGCGGCGAGGGGCAAAACAAAGTGAGTGATTAGGAGGCAGGGGGAGGGTGTTGATGCGAAAAACACACACTGGCCTGGAAGATCTGCTTAACTTCAGTGCAGGTCCAAAATCTTGCCTTTAGGTTCATGAGCGTGCCAGTTGATTTGATCCTACAATCAATAAGAAAGAAAGACAAAGAAACCGCGGTTAAATCCATAAACGATAGCCGATCGGCTAGTTGCCGATGACATATCATTTATTTTTGAGCCGATGTCATATTGGGATCGATCGGCCATTGTGAATAAATAAGATAAAGCTAAGTCTACTCGATCGGCTGTAGATGTTAACAGTACATAATTGTCACGTCGATGTATATTTAAACCAAGTGATTGGGATAGATCGGTCGTTATGCCGAGACAGTATAAATCACTTAAGTCAAAATATGCATTAACACGATAATTATATGAATGTTCACAGCATAGCCGATCAATCTAGTACGTATCGGCTGATACTCCGATACCACTCTATATTAAGATATTAAAATAAACATAATACATTAAACAGGAAGCCTAACATATTCTAATACAATAAGATCTTAACACAAAGGGTGGATTTAGCATAACAATTAAGCATATAAGATATAAAATAGCTAAATCAGGTAAGATCGGCTGAAACTCCGATGCTATCTCTTTCAGTAACCATAAAACAAGCAAGATATTACGATTAAAAATATTACTTAATAGATCAAACTCAACCGATGCAGCATTAAGCATAAAGATAAACATAAGATCTAAGCAAGATGATGAAAGCATCTAAGAGATGGTAGATATGCTATATAATCTAGATTAACAGCAAGATTTAACCCTATCGGCTATTTTCCTAACAATAAGAACTAGCCGATTGCGGGTTAAATAGAGTAATTACTAAAGATTATAGAACATATATGATAACTCGACGAATTACATCAACAAGATTAGAGTGTCATAAAGATGGAAGCACTAATCCCGAGAACGCAAGCCGCCATGACAAGTTTACCTCTAGTTGAAGATCGAAATCGATGCAGCCCAACCCGAAAGCAAGAACTCGACGAAATAGAACGAAAGTAAAAAGGTGGCGATGCGCCGAAATTGTGTTGAACTGATTGTTAATTGATTACATGGGGTTTGGGCTACTTTTATACCCAAAGTACACAATATGTCCTTGTCAAACACGACTCCTAACACTATTACAACTCAAGATACAAACAAGTCCTTAAGGCGGACCCTTACCGACTCAAAGTATAAGGAAATTACACAAAATATCCTAATTAATAGATACAATTGTCTTCTCAGGACTCAATCCACGTGTGGCAATCCGTATGAAGCACATTAACTTAACCCGATGACGTGTACTGAGTCACATTGTCAGAATCGGCTCAATCGGCTACCTTATCCGACTCGAACTCTGCCAACTCTGGTCGCAGCCGATTCGGACTTCGGCCGATTCTTACTCTATTTCCGGAACGATCTACAGAAATTTTGGTGATTATATAAGATATTGTCAGAGATTATATAAGATATATGATAACTCGACAACTTACATGAACAAGATTAGAGTATCGTAAAGATGGAAGCACTAATCCCGAGAACGCAAGCCGCCATAACAAGTTTTACCCCTAGTTGAAGATCGAAACCGATGCAACTCAACCCGAAAGCAAGATCTCGTCGAAACAAAATGAAAGTAAAAGGGTGGCGATGCGTCGAAATTGTTGTTGAACATGTGTTATTTTATTACATGGGGCTTGGGGTCTATTTATACCCGAGATTACAAAATATGTCCTTATCGGACACGACTCTTATCTCTAACAAACTCTAAGATACCATAAGTCTTTGCGGCAGACTTTTGCCCAAACTTATCTATAAGGAATTTACATAAAATATCCTAATTAATAGATACAATTGCCTCCTTAGGACTCAATCCGTGTATGGCAATCCATATGAAGTACTTCAACTCAACCCGATGACGTATACCGAGTCGTATTGTCAAAATCGGCTCAATCGACTAACCTTGTCCGACTCGAACTCTGCCGATTAAGGTCGCAGCCGATTCGGACTTAGCCGATTCGTGCTCTGTTTCCGTAACAATTCCTATCTTAGATTCCGCTTCTGTTTGATCTTCATCTCTGATACTCATATTACCAAATTTGGTCGTTAACACATGCCCCCCAAGTTCGGAATATTTGGTAATGTTTCAGATTTGCCATATCTGTTTTTCCAAGAATATCGCTCGTTGCCGTTTTTCGACCGTTACCGCGGTGTTTTAAATATTAACTGTCATCTCCGAGAAATTTCACACCGTCACCTCCGTTTTCACCGCTTAAGCAAACCTTGTCTTCTCTCTCTCTCCGGCGATCCCCTCGGTGCGCAAGGCAATTCCAAGGCGATCTCCTCTCCGGCCAAGATTCCGCCCGCGGCGATGTCGACCTCCGCCAGCCCGTCTGTCGCGCCATCGGCTGAGTACGCAGAGGTACGTGCTCATCAGCTAGATCCCTTTTTCCGTGCAGTATATCAGCTTTTCTTCATCTCTATTCTTTTGCATTTGTAGCATCTCTCCAACTTGGTCGCGGTTCCCAGTCTGTCAAACGAGCACCAGTATTTTCTCGGTCCGATCGGCAATCCTGATCCCCATGAGTTTATTAGTGCCGAGACTAATAGGATTCCTTTCAGACTAGCCAACCCGAACATAGGTCATTGGAAAAACACCTTCAAATCTTGGCCTTCCATTGAGAAAAGTGCCCCTGAGAAAAGTTGGCCTGTATGGTACAAGCGGGTATCGGCTAGCAAGCAGGCTCACTGGGACGAAATTGGAATCGGCCAAGCACTTGCCCTGACCATAGCAAATTCGGCTAAGGACAAACCCCTGATGGCCGCTGCAGCCTATTTCTGGTCGAACACACTTAATGCTTTACTCTTTAACCAAGGGCCAATGACCCCAACCCTGTTAGACATCACAATGATCACTGGCTTAGATGTCACCTCATTGGCTAATCCCATGAGCTTGAACACTAAAAACACTTTTGAGTTCAAGACCAAGAGCATTGGAGGCTGGTCAGGGTATATTGCAGCGTACAAGGGCAAAGGGCCAGTCACCCCTCGAGAGCATGTAGTCTTTCTGCTGATATGGCTTGAAAAGTTCCTGTTCTGCGGATCAAGTTGTGGTCCCACAACCAACTGGCAGTTTCCAGCTGAAGCCCTAGAAACAAAGAGACAATTCCCCTTAGGCAAAATCCTCCTCGGCTATCTGTACCAAATGTTGAATAATGCATCGGCCAAGATAGCTGTCGGCTCAGTTGTTGGTGTAGGTGGACCATGGTGGTTGCTGCAAACTTGGTTAAACTTGGTAGCCATGAAAGTTGTTAATCGGCCAACTGCTCCTGCTATCCTAGTAAATTTTGTCTTCAAAAATCTCAAATCGGCTGTACAATTTGTCTTGATGCTTAACTATCTTCAACTTTCTCTCTTGCAGGTATTAGCCGATCTGTTCTCGTTTGATATCAAAGATTACCTTG